ACATTTACACACACACTGTATACACTAACACAACACACACTCTGCATCCACTGCACTGACACACACTCTGCATCCACTGCACTGACACACACTCTGCATTAACTGTACACACAGCATCCATTACACAAACATCCTGTATTCACAGTACACACACTACATCCACCACAAATTGAAACACTCTGCATTCACTATACACAGACACTGCGTCTAATACACACACACACTACATCCACTACAGACACTGCATCCATTTCATCTAGTACATACAAACACTACATCCACTACATCACTGTACACACACTACATCCACTACTCAAATACACTCTGCGGTCACTATACCCACTGCATCCGCTACACAAACACACACTCTGCATTCACTGCACAAATAGTATCTAATACACACAAACACTACATCCATTACACACATTCTAATTCACTTCCACTATACACACCACATTTAGTCCTGCGTCATTGCGAGCGGACTAGGTAGGGCGTGGGCGGGCCCGGAAGGGAGGGGGGCCAGACCATGTGCTTTGTCATGGGCCCCAAAATTTCTGATGGCGGCCCTGCTAGAGGCGCTACCTGCTTTGCAAGAGGACGTCCAGCATCTTCTAAATCCCCATAGGAAAGCATTGACTCAATGCTTTCCTATTGCGAAGGCCTCATATGTGCAGTGCTCGCCATGCATACGCATTAGGTTTCCCCTTGCGATGTGGTTAAAGGTGGCGTTGACAGAGCCATCACCGAGGCACTTCGGCTCTGGAGTAAGGCAAGAGTTTAAATGGTTATGTAGCCCTTCGATTGCGGAGGATGGTGTGGACGTGCGGGCAGAGGGACACTATAGTATTAGGAATAAAGCTTTCTCTAAAACTATAGGCTAGAATATGCATATTTATTTTTTCAATGCACAATAAAAAAAAAAATGCACTATGGAATATTTTTAAAAGGAACACTATAGTCACCCAGCTCACGTCATTTTAATGAAATGGACTGGGTGCATGCTCCCTGTCCCTTTAAACTGCAAGGTTTACATTGCAGGGTTAAAGGGACACTATAGTCACCAGAACAACTACCGTGTTTCTCTGAAAATAAGACCGGGTCTTATATTAATTTTAGTCACAAAAAACACACTAGGGCTTATTTTCAGGGTAGGGCTTATTTATTTACATTACCAGTATGTACAGCTCTTTCTCTTTGCACTCATCTTGTCTGGGGATCAAAATACCATACTGTCTAATAAATCCACCCCCTCTAATTAATCCACCCCCCCCCTCTAATTAATCCACCCCCCTCTAATTAATCCACCCCCCTCTTTAATTAATCCACCCCCCTCTTTAATTAATCCACCCCCCTCTTTAATTAATCCACCCCCCTTTAACCATGTTATGGTTCAGGTGTCTATAGCCTGTCCCTGTAGGCCTTTCCATGTAAACATTGCCTTTTCAGAGTTTTTCTGTGTTTACACTGCTGTGTAGTGACTAAAGTGCTTCCTATCTCGGTGCTGCACAGTGTGCAACACCTACATTCAGCATCTCGGAATGCTCCTCATAGATATGCATTGGATTTAATGCATCTCTATGTGGAGATGTTGACTGGCGCAGTGCATGGCAATAGCTTCCCAATACTTTCCTATGGGCAAGCATTGGATTGATCACATCAAGTTTAATTATCTCAGACATACATGCAGGGCCATCCGTGGGTAGACAGGCATGGACTGGGAAAAAAAAAAGTGAGTAAAAAACACCATTGCCATGCGATCTGAGGGGGACTGGTCACCTACACACACTGACAAACACACCACGACACACACACACACACACTCACAAATCATTATTAGTTTTAATTCAGTTTTATTGCATCCAGCCACCCTACCTTTGCGAGAGCTGCAGTGGATCTACTTTTCCTGGGGTCCAGTGGGCAGCCGGCTGTGACAGAGTGGAGGCGGGCGGCGAGGGAGCTGTTATCTACCTGCTCTGCTCCCTTGCAAGCTGCTTAGTAATGCTGGGGCTGGAGTAACATCATAGTCCAGCCCCAGCATCACTAAGTGGAGCGCAAAGGAGCAGAGCAGGGAGATCACAACAGCTCCCACTCCGCTCACATACAGTACACGCAGCCTACCTCTGAGGGAACAGGCTAACAAATAACAGGCACCAGGAAAAAATGACTGGTCGCCATAGCGACCTAGCATCTGGTATTTGTCGAGCCCTGACCTATGGCACGTGTACCATTTATGGCACTCGAGGCTGCCAGAGCCAAACAAGCTATGGCCTATCAGGAGTTACAGTGGAACTTCAGGTATTTGCTAGTGCAACCCAGGCAGTGACAGACAATCCTCAATTTACAAATTGCGGCACTTAGAGGACATAATCTCAGATGAACTGGAAGCCACACTGGAGTAGAGCTGCCTGAGCAGCTATTGCAGCTCCTGCCCTTGATCTGTATCTAGCCAGCCCAGTCCCGACTGGACCCCAGGTAAGCTACCCACACTGCTAGAAATACACAAAGTTGCAGAAGAAGCCTCTTCCTAATACAAACAGCCCACACACAAAGTCTCAACAAACAACACCACTGACAATCCACATACATAGACCCCACCCCAACAGCAGCCTCTCACATACAATACCACAAGCAGCCCCACACATAAACACACCACCAAAAAACACATTGTGACATATCATCTACACACAAACACAAGTAGCCACCATACATGACAAACATTCATAGGTATCATACACAATAACACCAACTCCTCATGAACATATACAACAGCCTACATACGCACAAATGCAATGTTAAAAAGCAACAATAAGGCAACATACACACCTCAATTTAAATAAATAGGACCACATGAGACTTCAAGAACTTGGTTTAGCACGGTACTAGAGTGATTTCAGTCAGGGAATACTTGCGTTTTAAAAACAGGCAGCATTTCCAAGGTTATGAACAATACTGGAAGGATATAATGTATTATAAATAGTCATTAATAAAAAAAATACATTTGACAGCACTGAAACACCCACGTATTAATGTGCGGTCTGTCTGCTTTAGTTATTGCACATACTCTTACAATCAACGTATTTAGCTGGTTTAAAATCATAATAAGATATATACATAATTTTAAGATTACTGAGAAATTAATGATTCAGTTATTTTATTTAGTTTAAAAAAAAAAAACACTATCCCATGTAACACTTACTAAGCTGTCGATTTGTCCACATGCAAATAGCACCAGCAGGACCCCGAAATACCTCGTCATGACAAGACACTCATACAGTACAGTCCGGAATCAAATTTAAAATCCAGGTTCTTCCGGGTCTCGTGATTTTCGCCACGCTGCAAGTCAGCTGACTAGAGCGTCACTCCTTGTTGTTACTTCATTGCGGATGAGGATGTTCAGAGCACTGTATGTAGGAAATAACATTTTGTCGGCAGATGGAGAGCTTCGTAGTGAACGTTTATAACAGGAAGAAGTCTACTTATTTTGACTGCAATGAAATGACACGCTTTCTGAAGTTCAGTCTATTACTGCCATTCTCATGTTGCGATTTTTTTCGGGGGGTGACTTTTACATGGAATATCTTATTGTTATAAAAGGGAAACGATAGGGTAAAAACGCCCTCTATTTTTACATACATTTTATGGAAAATGCGTTAACTTTAAAAAATAAATTGTAAATTAAAATAGGTACCTAACCATACATATTTCTATCGATGACTTCTTTAATGAGTTTGCCTGCAGGCAGAATAGTCATTATGAAAAGATTAGTGCTACACTGCTATAAAGCTAAGAGTATTTATAACCAAGAAACGTCCCATTCATCACACGGATTAGCCCTGGAAAACTAAAGCAGTCACAGTGAACTGTGCTGTGGAAAATGATAGGCAGTGCTACCACAACACATCCCTTGCAGCACAGTTTTATTTGTCTAAGTTAAAGGGGCACTATAGGCACTCAGACCACTTCAGCTTATTAAAGTGGGCTGGGTGCAGTGTCCCAGATCCCTTAACCCTGCAAATATAATTATTGCAGTTCTTGATAAACTGTAATAATTACAGTGAACAAATTTATAAACGTAACACTTTTGTTTTTGCCCCCATTTTTCATGAGCTGAACTCAAAGATCTAAGACTTTTTCTATGTACAAAAAAAGGCCTTTTTCTCATGAATCTGTCTAAATCCGTGTTAGTGAGCACGTCTTCTCTTTTACCAAGATAATCCATCCACCTCACAGGTGTGGCATATCAAGATTAGACAGCATGATTATTGCAAAGGTGTGCCGTAGGTTGGCCACAATGTAAGGCCACTCTAAAATGTGTAGTTTTATCACACAGCACAATGCCACAGATGTCGCAAGTTTTGAGGGAGCGTGCAATTGGCATGCTGACTGCAAGAATGACACCAGAGCTGTTGCACATGAATTGAATGTTAATTTCTCTACCATAAGCCGTCTCCAAATACATTTCAGAGAATTTGGCAGTACATCCAACTGGCCTCACAACCGCAGACCACATGTAACCACACCAGCCCAGGACCTCCACATCCAGCATCTTCACCTCCAAGACTGTCTGAGACCAGCCACCCAGAAAGCTGCTGAAACAATCGGTTTGCATAACCAAAGAATTTCTCATTTGTTCTCATTACGGATGAATCCCGGTTTTCACTGTACAGGGCAGATGGTAGACAGTGTGTATGGCGTCGTGTGGGTGAGTGGTTTGCTGATGTCAAAGTTGTGGATCGAGTGGCCCATGGTGGCGGTGAGGTAATGGTATGGGCAAGCGTATGTTATGGACAACGAACACAGGTGCATTTTATTGCTGGCATTTTGAATGCACAGAGATACAGATACCGTAACGAGATCCTGAGGCCCATTGTTGTACCATTCATCCACAACCATCACCTCACGCTGCAGCATGATAATGCATGGCCCTATGTTGCATGGATCTGTGCACAATTCCTGGAAGCTGAAAACATCCCAGTTCTTGCATGGCCAGCATACTCACCAGACATGTCACCCGTTGAGTATGTTTGGGATGCTCTGGAACGACGTTTATGACAGCGTGTTCCAGGTCTTGCCAATATCCAGCAACTTCGCACAGTAATTGAAGAGGAGTGGACTAACATTCCACAGGCCACAATCAATAACCTGATCAACTCTATGCAAAGGGGATGTGTTGCACTACGTGAGGCAAATGGTGGTCACACCAGCTACTGACTGGTTTTTGGATTCCCCCAGACATGCCCAATACAGTAAAACTGCACATTTTAGAGTGGCCACTCTACATCCCTCACACACACACATACCCTGCATCATCCCTCACACAAACTGTGCACCACATCACACATACACTGCACCCCTCACATACACACTGCACCCCTCACTGCAGTGTCGGTGTGTGTATTCATCAGTCTGTGCATTTTGTTAGCAGTTTGTGTGTATTCAACAATCTGTGTGTATGTATTTAACAGTCTGTGTGTGTATTCAGGAGTCTGTGTGTATATTCAGCAGTTTGTGAATGTATTGTATTTATGTACTGCATTTGTTGGAGATACCGATAATTACATTTTTATTTCTGTGAGTAGTTGTGTAAGAAGGGCCCCAGTGAACTGCTTTGCCCAGGGGTTTATAAAACAGTTAAGACAGCTCTGTAGGCCCTTTGGGGCGTGCGAGCTGTGCTGCCTCACAGGGTGCCATGGCAAGAGGGGCAATTGATGGCCGACAGCTTGCAGTCACTCACTGCAGGCAGCTTAATAACAGGTGCAATTACGCAATCATTGATCGCGGCTGGGCAGCAGATGCGAGTAGCCACATCAATACCAGCGAACATCAAATGCATCACCAAAGAGAAGCAGTTCCAGCCATCACATTAGGACTGAGTTAAATAAATGTTTGACCAAATAATTAAGTTGATAATTTTGCGTGGCCCCTGAATGATGTAGTAAATATCCAAATGGCCCTTGGCAGAAAAAAGGTTCCCCACCCCTGCTTTAAACTAATAAACGTGTTTAGAAATCAATCTGTGCAAATAACATTGTGGCGGAACCGTCCTCGCCACTGGGCATTGGAGAAGACTGATTGCCAGCCTCCTGCCATGTGACAATGGCCCCTGGGATGTATTGCCCTTTAAAGACATGATTTGGGCATAATGGATTTGTGTTGTGCTGCTGCTGGCCCTTTAAGAACCATCTGGGGACATACTGTGGAGTTACTGGGTGGCCACCATTTCCTGTATCAGAGGCACATGGTGAGAACAATGGATGAAGCACATGGTGAGAACAATGGATGGCGGCCATTTTAACTCACAGACACTGTTTGGACTTTTCAACACGGTGCCATCTTGCCAGTATTTGGTGCACAGAGACATTGTGCAGTGGTTTTGGACTAAACAACAGGGGACATCTTATACAGTAATTGTTTTTCATATAGCCTGCATATGTTCTGTAAAATTTGCATTAATCTGTATCTTCCAAAGTACTGAATGGATCTGGGTGAATTTTGGATATGTGGTTCACCCAGATCCCCCGGTTCCAAGGGTTATGGGGTTATTGCATGTTTTGGGGTTCCTGTGATGTGTTTTATGAAACTGTACTTCTCTGTCTGTGATAATTAGATTACCCATTGTGTAAGGTAATTGTATCACAGGCAGAGGGGAGGATTTTGTGTGGGAGTGTCTGAGTGTATTGTACGTGTTATTGGTTGTTCTGTAAAACCCTGTGGGCAGTACTAAGTTTGTGGATTGGGAATAAAAGAGGCTGTATGTGCCAGTCCAGTCAGTTCCTGCTTAACCCTTAAAGTGAAGTGTCGTCTCATTATTGGGGGAGGATTTATTGTATGCTGTTCCAGTTTGACTGCTAGAAGTGTAAACCTATTCGCATGGTTTTTCCTAGTTGGCTGTATACAACATTCATATGCTTAAAAGTACTCATATGCTTCTCCGGTTCGGTGATTGTGGTGTCTGCCAGAGTGCTTGGAGTCCTCAGGAAGCGCTAGGAGCATCCTTCAACGGAGGTACCCAGTCGGGGTGCCAGGTGATCTGTTACAAACATTAATTGTTGTTGTTCAAAATTAGATGTTAGTTTTATAAATTGTTATTAGTAAATGACCTAATTTTTTTTTCTGAGCAACCCTGGCCACACCCACACTCACAGCTCTAAGATTAAAGTGTTCCTCTTTGTCCATCTGAAATGTTGGAAGGCATGTAATGTCCTGACACACAAAATAATATAAATGAGAAAATAGGGCCCCTTCCTGGAGTCATGGCCACAGTGTTTCTCCTTCTCTCCCCCATAGCATCTGTTAGACATTAGGGATATGCATGGGAAAAATATTCGGTTTGGTTCCGCATTCCGAAATTCGGCACTTCGAGAACTTCGGCAATTCGGTTCCGCCGGTAGGTCTAGTTTCAATGTAAACTAACTGACTTTGACCATATGGCTTGAAACTATCAATGGATAGTTCAATCCTTTGATATGGTAATGGTATTAGTTACATGAAGACCAGTAGGTTCCGGTATCATATCCAAGAGAAACATTAATACTTACCCACAGCTTAATAATCAAGCCTCATTTTTATTATATTTGAGATAGGACAAGCTCTTAATTAAGCCTAGACTTGAGTTTGACAACTTAAACCGTGTGGCAGAAATTATGATGTCTGTCCTATTGGATCGTGGGTGGGGCGTGCAACATGGCTATGGCATGGGAAAATAATAACAAATTTGTAGATGCAATTATTATTTCTGTGACAGGTACATAAAAGAAGATAGAGCCAAATGTTTCCATTTGGATTGACTGTGGTCTGGAACAAAGGAGGTGGTCAGTTATTATTTCTGTAGGTACGCCTTAACTCCACCCCTGGGCAAGACTTGATAATACACAGGGTATATACCCAATGATGTGGAGGGGTGTTAGTATACTTGCTTGGGGGTCAGAATCTAATTCTATCGATCTATTTCTTTCTATATATCTGTCTATCTCTATCTATCTCTCACTCCCACTCTCTCACTCCCACATAATATAATATGGAATTGCAAACAGCAGTTTCATTGCATGAGACATTTAACATCTGATAAGTTTGTAACCGGAAAATAATGCATCTTTCCTTGCCAGAGACCCCCTGGGCAGAAGTTGTACTTTGGAAACCTATGTGAGTAATTAGGACTTCTGTATTTTATCCGTTTTGTTTTTATCTGTTGGTGTAAATAATTTGTTTATCATATATTTTTATATGCACTGTGACTATTTTTGCTTATAATAAACACTCATTTTTTAAGTTCTGCCTTTGTCTTGTTAAGAATCACGTTACCTGAAGAGACTAATTTGTATTTTTGCAATTCCTTAAAGGGATACTATAGTCAGCATATAAAAGGAAGAAATAAAGGTCCCCCAGCCTTCTTTCTTGCTTTTATATGAACTTGCCCCTATTAAAAATAATTTTTGAGCCCTTTTTATAATATAAACTTACCTCGGTTCCAGCGCCGAGATCCCCGTCAGGCCACGCCCCCTTTTTCGACAAAACGACGAAATCGCTGGGCTCAGTCAGATGCTTCTCTCTTCTTCGCGCTGAACCAATCGCGTTCTTCATAGTAGTAGTTGTGCCTTTGTGTGTATGACTGCCTGCCTGTGTGTGTGTGTGGGTGTGGGTGTGTGTGTGACTGCATGTGTGTGACTGTAGCTGTGCGTGTCGCTGTAGTTGTTGTGATGGGTTTGTGTAATGTCCCTTTAATTTGGAACTCAACTGCAGAAACAATAAGTTACACCTCCTTTATATTGAAGTGAACAAGCTTGACTGTATCTTTAAATACACATGCAGGGAAGAAAAGCAATGCTAGTTCCAACTTAATTAAGATGGAATGATTTATGAGTATAATGATAATTAAGCTGGACAGGTTGCAATTAGAATAAATTGATATTTGCAGGAGGAATAAGACTTAGTAGAAATCCCTTATTGACAAGAGAGAAATGTAGTGAAATTAATTAATATGAATTGGTTTCCTTGGAAAAAAAAGGATTACTTAACTTAGAGGCAGTTCTGGCATTGGAAGGGTTAATTCACCCAATGGAGGAGAGATTATGACTCTCTATGAATAAGCTGAGCGTTAGGAGTGGAGAGTAAGGAAGTCCGTTTTTACAAGCCGAGGTCTGGAAGAGGAGAAGGTAGAAGTCCGTTTTCACTAGCCGAGGTCTGGGAGTGGAGAAGGTAGAAGTCCGTTTTCCAAGCCGAGGTCGAGAAGTGGAGATGGTTGAAATCTGGTTACAAGCCGAGGTCGGGAGAGGAGTGGAGCCGGTAGCATTCAGTAGAGCAGCTGATCTCAATGCAGTACCTGCGTGAATAATCCAGCCCTTTGAATCTGGCGCGGTCTTCCTAAGTATCGTGGAAGGACCGCGTCAGAGAAAGGGGCGGGGCTAAGCGCCGTGAACCCGGAAGTGGGTTCCGGCGGCAGTATGAATGATAGAGTATACCTGACAGTACCCCCTTCTCATGGGGCATCCTCTGGGTGCACTTACTTTGGTTTAGAGGGATAGCGTTTGTGAAAAGCATCAACTAATCTTTTTGCATGAACATTAGATGAATCTTCCCAAGTATCTTCATCAACTCCATAACCTTTCCATCTAATAAGGTATTGTAAGGTGCCACGGTGGACACGTGAATCCAAAATCTTGTGTATTTCATATTCTTCTTCACCTTGGACGATGATAGGTTCAGGAGTTGTAACTATTTCTCCATGAAAAGGATCAGGGATGTGTGGTTTAAGAAGAGAGACATGGAATACTGGATGAAGTTTAAAACTTGGAGGAAGTTTTAATTTAACAACGTTATCATTGATAATTGTAATTATTTGAAAAGGACCAAGAAAAAGAGAGCTCAATTTCTTTGAAGGACGGTTTGTGGTAATATTTTTTGAAGAGAGCCAGACAAGATCCCCTACTTTGTAAGGAGGGGGAATTCTTCTTCTATTGTCAAAAAACTTTTTCTGGTAGTTTTGAGCGAGTTGAAGATTCTCCCGTAATTTGAGGAATAGAGAGGACATAAATTAATTTTTTGATGTAACCGTAGGATTGGATGAAGTAATAGTTTGGATGGGAAATGAGGACGGATGAAAACCATAGTTGGAGAAGAAAGGAGTCATTTTCGTACTAGAATGAATGGTATTGTTGTAAGAAAATTCAGCCATAGGTAACCATGTGGTCCAGTCATCTTGCAAGTATGAACAATAACATCGGAGATATTGTTCCAAACATTGATTAACTCTCTCTGTTTGCCCATTAGTTTGGGGATGATAGGCGGAAGAGAGTTTGCGTTGAATTTGAAGAGAGAGACACATCTCCTTCCAGAATTTGGAGGTAAATTGTGTCCCCCTATCAGAAATAATTTCTTCTGGAAGACCATGGAGTTTTATAATATTATCAATAAAGACTTTGGACAATTCTACGGAAGAGGGTAATTTTTTTAAAGAGATGAAATGGGACATCTTTGTGAAGCGGTCCACAACAACAAGAATAGTGGTGAAATGTCGAGATGGTGGAAGGTCAACGAGAAAATCCATAGAAATGGATTGCCAAGGTTTTTCTGGAATGGGTAAGTTAAGTAGTAATCCGAAAGGTTGATTATGTTCAGATTTGGACCTTTGACAGATAGGACAAGTTTTGACATATAATTCAATGGTTTTATCTTGGCGAGGCCACCAATAATATCGTGAAGTTAGCTCAAGAGTTTTCTTTATTCCAGGATGTCCCGCTAGGGGTGAATCATGAACCATCTTAAGTAATTTGTTCCTAAGAATGGGAGGAATATAAATTCTATTTTTAAAGTAAAACATACCATCCTGTTTTGTCAAATTAGGCGTTTTGGGAAGTTCAAGATCCTTGGGATTCAAATTCTTTATGTCATCCTGAAGAGAAGAGAGGATCCCTATTATTTTGTTAGGGGGATAAACATCAATAGTAGTTTTAGAAGGAATTCGAGAAAGAGCGTCAGCCTTTTTATTCCTAGTTCCAGGTCTGTATATTAATTGGAAGTTAAATCGGTTAAAAATAGGTTCCATCTAACTTGTCTAGCCGTAAGGGTTTTGTTAGTATAGAGATATTCAAGATTTTTATGGTCTGTATAAACTATTATAGGTTGTTTTGTATCTTCTAGAAGATGACGCCAATTTTCGAAGGCAGCTTTAACACTTAATAATTCTTTTTCACCAATAGGATAATTTTTTTCAGCAGAGCTCAAGGATCTTGAGAAGAAGGCAACTGGATGAAGTGGATCTTGAGGAGTCTTTTGTTGAGAAAGAACTGCTCTGATAGCTGTATCAGATGCATCGACTTCAAGGACATATAAGAATGTTGGATTAGGTAGTTGTAGAATAGGTGCAGTTGTAAATCTTTTTTTTAATAGGTCAAAGGCAGCTTGTGCATCTTTACTCCACTTGAAAGGACGTTTCGTACTGTTAAGAAGGTTAAGTGGATGAGATACTTCTGAATAGTTTCTAATAAATTTCCTATAGAAGTTTGCAAATCCAAGAAATCGTTGCAATTCTTTTGTAGTAGTAGGAACGGGCCAGTTAATAATACATTCGATTTTGGAGTTATCCATTTTCAGAGAATGAGGTGAAATAATGTATCCAAGAAAGGAGAGTTTAGTAACTTCAAAAAGACATTTCTCTGGTTTAGCGTATAATTTGTGAGTTCTCAGTCCAGATAGAACCCATCTTACATGCTTCCTATGTTCATCCAAATTGTTAGAATATATTAAGATATCATCTAGATAGATAATAACACAGACATCCAAAAGATCTCTAAAAATGTCATTTATAAAATGTTGAAATGTTGCGGGGGCATTACAAAGCCCAAAAGGCATCACTAGATATTCGTAGAGACCATATCTAGTCCGGAAGGCGGTCTTCCATTCATCATCCTGTTTTATTCTAATGAGGTTATATGCTCCTCGGAGGTCGAGTTTAGTGAATATAGTTGCAGTCCTTAATCTTTCAAGTAATTCATTTATTAGAGGAAGAGGATAACGATTTTTTATGGTTATTTTATTTAAGGCTCTGTAATCTATAATGGGACGGATGGTTTGGTCCTTATTCCTCACAAAGAATATACTAGAGGCAGCCGGGAAGGTCGAGGGTCTGATGAATCCTTTACGTAAATTTTCATTGAGATATTCTTTTAAGGTCTGCAATTCCTTTTCAGAAAGTGGATATATGTGACCATAAGGAATAGGAGCACCGGGTATTAGATCTATTGGGCAATCATATACTCGATGAGGTGGAAGTGTTTCAGCTTCTTTTTTACAAAAGACATCTGCAAAATCAGAGTAGAATGGAGGTATAACTGATTCTTGAGTAGTTTGGAGAATAGGAATATGTTGTAAGCAGGTTTTTTTACAAAAATCAGAAGAAAAGGAAATGGAGAAGGGTGACCAATTAATTAGAGGATCATGGGTTTTTAACCAATTAATTCCTCGAATGACAGGATAAAGTGGAGATTTAATAACATCAAATGTAAGAAATTCGGTATGTTCGTTGTTGGTAATCATTCTTAGAGGAATTGTCTCATCTTTTATGGGTCCTGAGGATATAAATGAACCATCAATAACTCTGATTGGAACAAAGTTGGTTTTTCGAACACAAGGAATTTTATTCTTTGTAACAAAAGAAAAATCAAGGAAGGTTCCATTAGCACCAGAATCAATAATGGCTTCAGTCACGATTCTTTTTGTATCCCACTGTAATATGAGAGATATAGAAAAATAAGTAGATGTTTTTCTTTTTTGAAGAACGTTCAATATAGAGGTAGATGAATTAAGCTTACCAGCTTTTGAATGTTTAAGTAGAGGACATTCTGGAATTAGATGTTCGTTTGAAGCACAATACATACAT